AATTTTTGACTGAAGTTGATGTTACTGCTAACGGCCGAAAAGTGGTTGGCGAGATTATTTGCTTTTTGGGCGGGGTTGGTTGACTTGGTTTGAAAGTGAAGTGTTGGGTGGATTTGCAGTGGATGCACCAGGGTGTGCATGTGCCTGGGCAGTCTGTTTGTGCGCATTTTTTACATTTAGTTTTACGGTATGTGCATTGGGTGGCAGTGTGGTTGTATTTGAGGCACTTTGAACATTGCTTTACCTGCTTTATATAGGGTTTGACTTCTAAGTTGGTGTGGGCTCCGAAGGATATGTGTTTGGGGGCTTCAGGGAATTTAGCGGGTTTTTTTAAGTTGATTAAGTCCTCAGTTGTTTCCCTTGGGTTAACCCTAATTACGCCTCGTGTATATTGTTGCCAATTAAGTGTTTGTTTGATTACCGTGACGTGGAATATTTGAGTTATTTTATTTGCTGCATTGTTAGATTCTCGGTAAGGGAAGATTATCTGGTATCCTTTGTTGGCTTTTTTAATATTGTTGTAATTTATTTTTTCTCTTTTAAACCAAAGTCCTTTTTTATCTGCCGAAAGTTCTAGTGAGAGAGTGGTGCCTGAGCCTGCTGAGAAGAAGTAGAGGGCGAAGGTGGTGAGGAAGGCGGCCGGGGAGGTTGTGGGTGATGGAGGTGGAGTGGATGTGTCGATTTTGCGTTTTGGGGTGTTTTGAGGTGGCGAGTTAGCTGGTTTGGTGGGGGTGGTGTGTGTCGTGTTTTCGCCCTACTCGGTCGGGACGATGTTTTCGAGTGACCTCCCGGAAGTGTTGTGCGCTTCCGCAGGCGTGGGTGAGTAAGGAGCTGGAATGTCTGCGAGTGTGGCGTTGCGGGTGTCAGTCATGTTGTTTGGGTGTTGTGTTGGAGAGTTGGAGAGCTTGTGTTGTGGTGAGTGGTGGAAGAGCGGGAGTGGTGTTTTGGGGAGGTGAGTTGGTTTGTTGTTTTTACTGGGTGAGTTGTGTTTAGGAGGCGGAGGAGGTTGCGGTGGTTATTTGTTGTTGGTTTTAGTAGTAGGGTTTGGGAAATGGATTAGTTATTAAAGATTTATTTTGTTGCTGGAAGGCTAGGATTAGGTGAGACAAGTGGAAAGCGGGGATTAGGAGATATTTAGTCGAAGGAGTGGAGGTATGTGAGTGGTGGGCGTGGGTGGTGAGTAGGAAAGAGCGTGCGTTGTGTTTAGGAGAAGGGGGGGATTAGGTGTTTTTTGTTTTTAGGAGTTGGGTCAAAGGGTGTGTTTGAGTGGTGGGCGTGGGTAGTCAGTAGAAATGAGTGCGAGCTGTGTTAGGGAGATGGGGGAGGATAAGGTGTTGGTTATTTATAAGAGTTTGAGACGAAAAGGTGTGATTGAGTGTTGTTGTTTTTAAGGATTTAGGGGTTTTGTGATTAATTCGGTGAGAGTGATCTTAAGAGCATGTGAATAAGGATGAAAGGATAACGTGATAATTACCGATGATGGAGTTTCCTTGGCTGGCTATCAGGCAATGCTCTGTACTGGCTTGGGAAGTGTTGCTCGCTTGGAGTACAAACTGCAACTGATTGTCTGGCCAAGACTCGATTATTTACAGACCGCTGTCCTATAGCCGCAATATTGCTAGGTTCGGCGTTAAACAACAAACAAACAAACGGTGAGAGTGATTTTAAGAGTATGTGAATAAGGCTGAAAGGATAACGTGATAATTATAGATGTTGGAGTTCTCCTTGGCTGGCTATCAGGCAATGCTCTGTGCTGGCTTGGGAGGTGAAATGCTCGCTTGGAGTACAAGATTACCTTGAACTATTTTATTTAAGTAAATCTGTCATCACCTATATTAGAATAACATTCAGCAATTACTTCAATTAAGACTCATTAGGGATTAGCCCCCGTACAAGCTCGTCTATGAGGCATTAAGGATTAGCCCCCATACAAGCTCGTCTATAGTGCATTAAGGATTAGCCCCAACACAAGCTTGTCTATAGTGACACCATAATCTCTTTCAAAGCGTCCAGTAAATATGTTAACAAGATTAGTGCCAGTCCAACAGGATTAACAGGATTAAGTATCCCCCTCTGTCTAGCCATTCATTTAGCATAGGGCATAACCAATCGTGTATCAACCAATCATATTCCATTTTATTGTTCTAATTTTTGTTAAATACATACAGAAACCTCTTGTTAGAGAACCAAATTAAAAATCTTAAACAAAACTGCAAAACAATCAAATATCTTCACCCCTAAACTTAAAATACCCAAAATAGACACAACACTAGATAAATAAATAAATAAATAAACAAACCGACCCAAACATAGCTAAAACTACCACACTAGCATACATACACAAAAATTGGCCAAATTGGTGTCACATTTACACGGACGGATCCTCAGATCCGACCTCCAAACACAAAGGTTTCGGAGTCCATACCACACAACCAACTAAAACCACACAATCCTTCCGACTCCCAAACAACCAATCAATATTCACGGCAGAACTAATGGGCATGGCCTCAGCCCTCCATAATCAAGAATCCAAAAAACAAAAAAACAACCTAATACTTACCGACTCCCTAAGTGGACTGCAAGCCCTCCAAAACAAAAATACCAAAAACCGACCTAAATTAATAAATCAAATACTTAAAAGCTCCAACGACCTAACTAAGACAGGCAAACAAATAACTTTCTTGTGGATACCCGCCCACGTAGGAATATACGGTAATGAAAACGCCGATAAAGCAGCTAAACTATCCCTCAAAATCCCAGAAATAAGCTTAAACTTACCCATCTCAAAATCGGAAATTAAAAGTGTAAACAAGCAAAATATCACAAAAAATGGCATAACCTATATCTAAACTCAAATAGCCAAATCAAAAAAGTGCTCAGCAAACCACTAACCAAACCATAAATTCTCCATCCATCAAAAAAAATCGACAGAGTAATCACTTAACTCCAAACAGGACACACCAACCTAAATAACCACCTACATTTTTTTTTAAATCACACTACAGGTAACTGCCCACACTGCAAACAACTAGAAACCCCAGAACACGCACTCATCCACTGTACACACCACCTAACATATCGAACCGCATTACAAACCACCCTCAATCTAAACAAGGCTCTAACTCTAGAAGTAATACTAAACCCACAAAATCAACTAGAAAACTTCAAGGCCTTAGGCGTATTCTTAATAAAAACGGAACTAATAAAACGCATCTAAAAACACAATGACCTACCAAATAAAAATCACATAAACAAACAAACATCCACCATACCCAGCTCCCTTAGTTCTCCTCCCCAACCCCATCGGCATCTATTCCAAATCTCAAAATTCCCAAATTCTATATAAGCAACCCCTAAAACCCCCCTCTTGGGTTGCACAGACCACTTTCGCCCCGTTCGAAAACACATTAAATGGCCTGGCCAGGGGCCCGTGTGCGAAATACGCATCAATCGGAAAGCGCACGTTAAATCTCCAAAGTAGGTAAGTAAGTAAGTCTTGTTAGAGCAGAGAAGGGGTTTGACTCTCTTACCAATCAGACCTCTCTCCCACAGCCCAGAGGGTTGTACCGACTCTCTGTGGCACCCTCAGCTATTTTTCTAAGATATTGTAACTTGCTCATTGTTAATTGTTCTTGTAAATAAAATTGTATTTAGTCTCCTGTGACTCCAGCTCTTTGCTGACTAATTCCCCCAAGAAATCCAGCGCGCCATTTGGACGGTTTTGTTCATCACATAACAGTCCATGATAGAGCAATACAGGCCCTGTCGGCCTCTTGTTTATCTAGATCTACACACAATTATATTTAGTGTCCAGTGTTTATGTCATTTCAAGAACACGGTCTCATGCAAAAAAACCGCATGAACGTCAAATTGTGTTGTTCATACACTTATAAACGTCAATTTCGCAGTCATGTGACCAACCTTCCGTCCAATGGAAAAGTTGTCTATAGTGTAAACATTGAACTAAACAATCATAACCATGATATCTTCTGAATTAAAAGTCAACATCTCGGCATCTGGAGTATCTGCAAAATCACATGCCATAGTGTGTAAATTGCAAATTAGTGATAAAAAATAATATGAATGGATAACTGCAAAATCGGTTAAGACTCCAGATGTTTGAGAAATAGGGTAAGCATGTCCTGATCTATCGATGGTGAGTGGCACCACTGTTTTAATCAGCCGTCAAATCACTGGATGCCAATGACTCAACAAAATGGGCTTCAGTACAGCAAGGGCAAAATTGTGGAAACCCATTGACAGCGACGGGGAATCCCCTTAAATCCTTGCATTTGATTGGACGATGCTTACTATAACATTTCACCTTGCAAAATCTGTCTGCATGCGTAAAAGTATATGTAAAATTATGTAGTTTAGTATACAGCAATATGTGTATGTATTATTTTTGCAACAATAAAGTTCAGTTCATACACTCAAAACGTCAAAACCCTTCTTTTTCAGGCAAATTTCATATTATACAACAATTAATACTCCCTTCTTGTCATTCATGTTTCATGGTTTAAACCTACACTTATGTATTTGTTATTCACATGATGCTCAGTTAATGACTTTATCACAGGTATTATTTGTGGTGGAACTACTCAGATTACATGACGAACACTATGCAAAATATCTCAATAACGTTTACCCCTGCCTCTAAGGGTGTCAAGGATATGTAGCAATGAGTGGTTGCATTTGGAATTTCTCATTGTCTTGGGTAACTCATCAATCTAAGATTGGGTTATAAATCCAGGTCTCATGTGGTGAATTTATTTCATGTTATGCAACATGTACTGGCAGCGCAAGAGAGAAATGTTCAGTTCATCAAAGGATTAACTGATATGTTGATTGGTTAATGCACTGGTATTAGCACGGTGATTTTGGCAAAACGAAGTGTTTACATGTGTAGGTTTACTACAGCAGACATCAACTGGTCTTTAACTTGTTTAATGTACTTCTCTGGTCTGGTTTATATGACACAAGCTTTTCTTTTATTGCAGATACATGCCATCATCTTCAAGATCTTATTTGTGAGTATTTTCTGTATCCCTTAAAGTGTTTATTATTCTTTTGTCGAACATGTCAGGTTAAATTGTTTTCTTCAGTGTAAAAGTGTGGATAATCAACAAATAAATGTACATCGACAAATAAACAGCTGACACCTACAACCAGTCACCTAAATATTTGGAATCATTCAGCACACTTCATTCACATCAAACAATCAAATTTGTTGATGTAGGTTCCAGGACTATAATACACACAGTAAACACTTCAAGCACATTCATTCATCTGAAACGACATGTTATTTGTTAGAGAAGAGAATATATGGATGTCAACTTCTTTATTATGACGAACACAACATGTCAGAGAAAATGCTTACTCCTTCATCAGGTGAATGAATGCCTTACTTACTTATATTGGAGATTTAACGTGCGCTTTCCGACTGCAAGCGTATGTTGCACACGGGCCCGGCCAGGCCATTAAATGTGTTTCCGAAAAGGGGAAAAGTGAGTTTGTGCAACCCAGGAGGGGGGCTTTAAGGGTTGCTTATATAGTAATTTTGAGATTTGGAATGAATGCCAAGAGTGGGTGGAGGACGAACTAAGGGAGCTATGTGTGTTGGGTGGTTGTTAGATAAGGTAGTTTGGGTTTTAATATTTTATTTGGGGTTTAAATGCGACTAATTAGTCCTGTTTTAATTAGGTATATGCCTAAGGCTTTGAGTTTTTCCAATTTATTTTGTGGATTTAGGATTGATTCTAGTGTAAGTGCGGTTTTAAGATTTAGGGTGGTCTGTAGTGTTTGGTAGTGTGTGCAGTGAATGAGTACGTGTTCTGGTGTTTCTTGTCTTTTGCAATCAGGGCAGTTTCCTGTTGTGTGTAGATTAGCTATTTTACGGTGATTATTTAGTTTGGTGTGGCCTGTTTGTAGTTTAGGATTTTTTTGGATGGGTGTAGTATTTTTGGTTTATTTAGGTGTTTTTTTAGTACTTTCCTGATTTGGCTATTTGAGTTTTCGTATTATATTTTGCCATTTTTTGTTGATTTTTTGTTTAGTGACACTTTTGATTTCTGATTTTGAGCTGGGTAAGTTTAAGCTTATTTCTGGGAGTTTAAGGGATAATTTTGCTGCTTTATCTGCGTTTTCATTTCAAAAGATTCCTACGTGGGCGGGGATCCAAATGAACTCTATTTGTTTACCTGCCTTAGTTAAGTTGTTTGAGCTTTTGAGTATTTGATTTATTAGTTTGGGACGGTTATTAGTGTTTTTATTTTTGAGGGCTTGTAGTCCACTGAGGGAGTCGGTTAGGATGAGGATTTTTTGGTGTTTTTTAGATTGCTGATTGTGTAGTGCTGAGGCCATGCCCATGAGTTCGGCCGTGAATATGGATTGGTTGTTTGGGAGTTGGTAAGATTGGGTGTGTTTGGTTGGTTGTGTTTTGAGATCGGATCTGAGGATCCGTCTGTGTATATGTGACACCAATTTGGCCAATTTTCATGTATGTATGCTAGTGTGGTGGTTTTAGTGATGTTAGGATCGGTCTGTTTATTTAGTGTATCGGCTAGTGTAGTGTCTATTTTTGGTATTTTAAGTTTTGGAGTGAAGATATTGGATGATTTATTGTTTTGTTTAAGATTATTTATTTTGTCTTCATTTGGGTAATTGGTTATTCTTTGGGAAATTGGAGTAAGTAGTGGATTTTTCCGGGCTAGGGCTTGGTTTCGAGGGCTAAAATTGTTTTTTATTAAGTTTTCGATTAGAGGGTTTGATTGGGACGCGGCCCAGAAGTTTAGGGTAAGTTGTTCCCTACGTAGTTTAAGTGGCATTTCTCATGTTAAGGCCTGGGGTGAGGTGGAGGAGCTGCCATGTTGAGTTCGTGTGATTAGTTTTAGGGCCTGATACTGGATTGAGTCTAGTTTTTCAATGAGAGAGTTGTTTAAGGTGTCGTAAATGGCACTGCCATAGTCTAGTTTGGATCTAGTGATATATTGAGTGAGAGGAGGGTGTTTTTTAGGCCCCCCAGCCGGTTAGGCATCTTAACGTGTTTAGGTCTTTGCTGCATCTGGTTACTAGGTTTTTAATGTGAGCATCCCAGGTGAGATGTTCATCGAAGATTAATCCTAAGAATTTGGTTTGATTTTGAAATTTGATTGGTTTGTTGAATAGTTGGAGGTTTAGGGAGACAGGTTGTATATTTTTGTGTTTAAATACTATTCCTGTGGTTTTTCTGAGTTTAGGGAGAGATCTTTGTAGTAAGTTTTGGGCCATTTTAATGCTTTTAGTGCGGATCCAGAGGGCTCCATCATCCGCGAATTTTGATGTGTTTACTTTGGGGGATAGTCCCTTGAATAGATCGTTAATCATTATATTGCAGAGTGTCAGGTTTAGGATGCTGCCCTGGGGAGTGCCATTTTCTAGGGGACATTGGTCCGATAGCGTTTGGTCTATGCCCACGTTGATTTTGCGGTTTGTTAGGAAACTTTGCATGTAGTTAATTATTTGACCTTTAAGACCTATTTTTTGTAGTTTTTGTATTAGCCTGTTATGCCAAACCATGTCGAGCGCTTTGGAGAAGTCTAGAAAGATGCCTGTAGTATATTGTTTGTTAAGTTGGCCTGTTTTAATGTCCTGCTCTAGTTGGGCGAGGTAATCTAAGGTTGAGCGTCCAGGAGTGAAACTGCTTTGGTCTGGATTTATTATGTTGTTTTGTTCTAAGTAGTGTTGTAGCCTGTTTTTGCCACTGATTCCATTACTTTGCATAAGTTAGAAGTTAGTATGAATTAGCCTGGTCAGCTGGTTTATTTGGTTTGGGGATTGGTATGACCAGGGCTTGTTTCCAAGGTGATGGGACCTGTCCGTTTATATATATGAGGTTATAGAGTTTTAGAAGAGTTTGGAGTAGTTTTGGTGGTAGTTGTTCAATTATCTGGTATGAAGTAAGGTCTAAGCCTGGGGCTGTGCCCTTTTTCCTATTTTGTAGGACGTGGAGTAGTTCTTCCATTGTGAAATGGAGGTTAATTTCTAGGTTATTATCTTTTGGCTCTTTGGTAAATTTGGTTTCTGATTTTAGTTGTTCCTTGAATTTTTGGTTGAAGTTGCTGTTGCCACTGATGGCCGAGAAGTGATTTGCTCGGTTACTAGCCTTTTGAGTGGGGTTTGTTGAATTGTTTATGTTGGGAGTTTTTTTAATGACGTTTAATGCCCCTAATGGCGTGGATTTTGCGCCAAACTGTTCTGGCGTCTGTATGATGGTTAATTTCTTCGCAAATTTTTTTCCAGTCTCTAGTTTTAGCTGTTTTAACTAAGCTTTGTACTTTGTGATTTAGTTTGTGTGCTATTTTTAGGCGTTTGAAGTCACGTTTGGCTTTATTGAATGCGGATTTGCGTTTACGTCTAGTTTGTTCTATCTCCTCGTTCCACCAAGGAACCGAGGGTTTGCCTATGTTGGTTGTTTTGAAAGGAATGGAGTTTTAAGCTGCGTTTATTATATAGTCAGTTAGGTTTTTACAGTAGATTTCGGGGTCATTACTTTCTAGGTCAGCTGGGTTAGCATGGTTGCAAATTTCCTGAAATTTGTCCCAGTCGGCTTTGTTGTATTGAAATTTAGATTCCTGGTTTTGGGTTGGTGTTGGGATGTTTACATCTCCTATAGTTATATTTATGGGGAAGTGGTCACTACCTTGTGGTACTCCGTGTACTTCTCATTGAATACTTTGGGCTAAATCTGGGGTGCTTATGGTTAAGTCGATAGCCGACATTTTGTGGTGTATTTTGTCGTATCTAGTAGTTTGGTTGTTATTTAGTAGTATTAGGTCATTTTGTTCTATCCATTCTGAGATGAGTTTTCCGTGTTTATCTATTTTTTCTTCTATACCCCAGGTAGGGTGGTGGGCATTAAAGTCTCCTAGAAAGATTGTAGATTTATTGCCTATTTGGAGGAGGGTGTTTAAATCCTCAGGTTTGACCTGTTTTTCTACCCAGTGATATACATTTATGATATTAATTTTTTGGTTGTTATTTGTTTTTTGGATACTGTTTGCTTCTAGGTTTGGTGTGTTTATGAATGAATGCCATGAGGCAGAGAGCATATATATGTACATGTAAGGACAACAGAATTAATAAGATAACAAAAGGTGGAAAATAACAAAGGGTAGAAGCTAACAAAGGAAGCCAACAGATGATTAGCACTGATAGGTGATTAGCAATAGACAATTGAAGCCAACACTTAAGTTATCTTAGCTAAGTAATTGGTAATGGGTACTGGGCACTGGGCAAATCGGGGTGTAGGGGTCTGGTGTGGGTGGTAATTAGCACTGAAGCAAATTGTGGCCAGCTAGGTAATTAGCCCCGACAGAGATCAAAGCAATAAGTCCCAAGCACGAGGCAGATAGGTTCCCTGGTCACGGTTCATTGCTGGCTGGTGTCTCCTGGCGTCAATGGTTTCTTGTAGTTTTCTTTGTCGCCAGTTGTTGTTGTTGTTGTTGGTAGACAATACTTTGGTGGCTTCCCAAATGATGTTATGGTTTTTGTTTTTCACGATGTGTTCAGAAATAGCGGATTTCAGGTCGAGTTTGTTAACAGAGGTCCGATGTTCTTTGAGTCTTGTGTTGAGGGGTCTAAGGGTTTCTCTAATATATTGTAGGCCACAGTTGCAGGGTATCTGGTATATACATCCTCGGGAGTTGGGACTCGATCGCTCTGTTTTTGCCTCTGCCATTAGCTTGTAGATGGGTCTTGATTGACTTGCCACTAGAGAAGGTGACATCTATGCTGGCTTTGTTCTTGAAGAGGCGGGAAATCTGATGAGTGACGGGGCCTTGGTAGGGTATGGTGATCGATTCTGATAGGCGCCACCTGAAACCATCCACAGATAAAACAAGCTATCATCACCACCCTCACCTGACGTGCCAAATCCATTTGCCACCCTGATGCCCTCAGCAGTGAACTGGACTACTTCACTTCCCTCAACAGTTATCCTGCTCACCTAGTTTCCGAAACCATCCGTAAGACCCTCAAGAACTCCTACCCCAGGCCCAAACCAGCTCCATCACCTATCAGAATCACTCTCTGCCTCATGGCATTCATTCACCTGATAAGGAGTAAGCATATACTCCGAAATGTTCTGTTCCTCATAATAAAGAACGTCACGCCGAAGACCCAGGTTCGATTCCCGACATGGGTACAATGTGTGAAGCCCATTTCTGGTGTCCCCTGCCGTGATATTGCTGGAATATTGCTAAAAGCGGCGTAAAACCATACTCACTCACTCACAATAAAGAAGTTGACATCCATATATTCTCTTCCTTATGTGTATCACTTCTAAATGCCTTTCAAAGACCTGATGTTATTTGTTGGCTGCCAACATCTAACACTTCGTGCTAATGCTGCTGGAAAGACAAGTGAGGAAAAGAACCCTAAAGTACTGTCGAAAATGCTAGAAATGTGCTTACTGACTTCATTTAACAAATTCAGATCACAGGGTTATGTAAATGGCATATATCAAAATATTTCAAATCTACCTAATCTAGCCTATCCTGACACTGCGATTAACCTAAAATGGTACTTTCACAGGTAAAATAATGATAAACAGAAAATATTTGTGTGTTGTCATGCATATGTGACACTTTGCATTTCTGTTAGAAATGTGTAATATGCACAAGAAAATGCGGACTGTCACATGCGGCCTTAGTAAGGGGTGTGTACATAGATTACTTACAGATTGGTCTGGATGTTGGTCAGGAGGTGCTAATTGGAGCAGGGTGCTTAACATGCTTGATTTAGTGAATACGGTACATTAAACAATTTAAGTTGTAGCAGTATCACGAGGGATACATGTGGTTTTATGCGTCCCACATTTGATTTTATACCAAGAGCTGGAGGCAAGTGGTATAAAACCTAAAGAGGGACCATAAAACCACATGTACAAATCATGATCCTGCTGCAACCAATATTTCTTACTGACATGGCTTCAAGTTACATTGTAAAAGAATTCAAACAAATTCAAAATTGATAGAAATCAGCTGTCGATTGAGCTGAAGTTAGCTTGTAAATGACTTGTTAAAAGCATCAAGCGTTTTGTTTTGAAGTGGACTATAAGGGATTTATTCTCCTGCTGAGAAATTATTTCCCTCCAAAGCGGGTTATACAGTATTTTATCAAGATCACATGGACCAATCAGTTTCTCATCATTCTGACATGGAGGTATGATCAATTATTTTATCAAGATCACAGGAACTAATCATTCTGAGATGAAGGTATGATAATGGGCTGTATTACATGAGGTAAATAACATGTACAGACAAGCAGCTGTAAACATACTTTACATCAAGTACATATTATGTGCAGACCAAACTATGACAATGCATGGTTTTATGTTACATTATATTCCAGTTTAACTACAGTAACATGTGAATGCATTGTAGCAATTGTTTGGTTTTCAGGTGAAACAGGACTAATGATTAACTCAATGGATGCCAGCAAGCACGTGTCAACACACGCAGAGGGTGCTGCCTACAAGCGTCTGCTGGAACAAGGCTGTGTGGTCATCAGGGGGAGATCAGGATCTGGGAAATCCCACATGGGATACACTCTGTTACAGAGGGCATCGAAGCAGTTCCCACGGACACCAGTAAAGATCTCATCACCTGATGAATGGAACTATTTACCCAAATCAAGTAATCCTAAATCTGATGTTACTATTGACAAATACATTGTCATGATTGATGATATTTTCGGATCTACTAATCTGATCCAACACAATTTGGACCAGTGGAGACAGAAATTTGACCTTGTGTGGCCTCAGGTGGAATCTGGACAAATCTGGTTAGTGATAACAACAAGACCAGAAATAATTACCCTGGCAGGATCAAGCTTTCATAGGTATAACATATTTACATCTTCAGGAAGTATCCTTTTGGATGAAAAATTACACTGTCTCACAAAGGACGAAAAATTGGATTTTTTGGACAAACTGTGTGGAAAATATATAGCATATGAGGAAAGAATTGGGATAGCAAAGACAGACACTGCTCTGGGCTTTCCACAATGTTGTATATATTTTGCTTCTCATAAACACATACAGGAAAGAGGCTTAGTCTTTTTCCTCAATCCCTTTGAATTTATCAAACAAGAGATTGATTCTGTGAAAAGGAGTCAACGAGGTAGCTATTGTGTGTTGCTCATGGTTCTGGCATATGATGGATGGCTTCCAAAAGGACTTGTGAAAACAATTAGTCCTCCTGAAGAGTTTACAAGTCGATGTAAACAAATGATGAAAGCTTCTGGTTTGAAGGAGGAACCAAATATGAAGGATATTCTTCAATCTTTATGTGGTGTTTACCTGGTCAGCGATGGGACTGGTTATCAGTTCTCACACAGGTCAATACATGATGTCTTGTTTGTGGATTTATGTGAGTCATACCCTGATTTGGGAATAGACTTGAGCACGCCATCTATGTTAGTTGAATATGTTCGAACTACAGATTGTAGATGTGATATGCTAAATGTGGTTGTTTTGGATAAAGAATATTATCCAAAACTGGCAAACAAACTGAGAGAATATCTGTCGGACGACGACAGTCGATACATTGTATTGGACCACCCTTCACTTAACGATGAAAACATTGTAATGCTTTTTAGAGGATGGAATATTAGCATGGTACCATTGCGAGTGGAAAAGAATTTGTTGAAGTTTTATATGGACTATGAATTTTCTACTTTCTGTAATGTATGTGAAATCTCTGTTTCTGATATGTCAGACATCAATCACATTAGGTATAGTTATTTTCTCTCTTATGCCATAATGTCAGGTATGACAAAGTTTGCTGAACACATCATTCACAAAGTCAGTACTGCCACTGATGCTGAAAACCAGTCTATGCTTGACGAAGCCTTAGTGTGTGCTGTGTACATGGGCCAAAACCGTGTAGTTGACGTATTGCTCAGAAAAGGAGCACAACCATCACAGATATGTCTTGATGTTCTCAGTGCTTCACCAGAAATGAATTTTAAAAATTCCTCAAAGTTGGTAAAAATGATCAAACCAACACCGGATCACCTGAAACATGTTTTCGCAAGTGTAGTTCTGCATTGCAATGTAACTTTCCTCAGAATTATCATTAAAATGTGCCCTGAAATATTGGAAAATCCCAAAGATACTTACAGCCAAGCCATTTTAGGTCTTTGTACAATTCTAAATGGAAATGTTGCATCCAAAACATTTTACATTGTCAAGCTAAACAACAAATTACATGAAGATATATCCAGGACATTTTCCAGAGCTGTTGATCTTATGTCACTTCTTCACAAGGCAGGGGGAATCATGGATATCGATGAAATGTTTACTCTCGCAACTCAAAAATACGCCCCAGATACATTGATAGAATTTATCCGTGTGGGTTTTCAGATTCCCCCTGCTCATCATGATGATATACAATCCAGTGTGTGTCACAGTAAGAAGTTCCATCAACTATTAGAATCTTTGATCGACAAACTAGCTCCAGTACAAATAAAAGCCAGAACTGTGAAAACTCTTCTGCATAAAGCAGCATGGAGTCAGTGCAAGATATGTATCAAGATGTTGATTTCAGATGTGGAAGAAACTGACAGTGACGGTAACACAGCTTTACACTGCATGATAAAATCTGATGAAAATCATGACCATGAAGTGTTAGAATTATTAATAGAAAAGACCAATCACAGACACATAAAGAACAAAAGTGGTGAGTTACCTCTCCACATTGCAGCAAGAAGGCAGTGTCAGGAGTGTATCAGTCATTTGCTCATGGAGGCTGATGTAAGTAAGGATCATGCAGGTAATCCTGTTCACTGTACATTTGATGAAGGAGCTTCATACCATAGAGATGAATCACGTGAACATGTCTTCCATGTTGGGAAAGGGTCAGATGTGATTATGAGACAGACAAAGACACCATGTATAGAACGTGGGGAACTGTTGCAACCAATATCTGATATAAATGATCAGGATGAGGCGGGGAACACTGCACTGCACTATCTGCATCCTGATAAAAGCTATTATCCGACCAAAGTTGAACATTTTTGCCAAGAAACGTGTCATCTCTTTCTTGACAATGGGGCAGATGTGCACATAAAGAACAAGGGTGGAAAGACAGCTCTGCACTTGGCAGCAAAGGCAAATTGTGAAAGATGTGTGAAAATATTGCTCCCAATATCTGATATAAATGATCAGGATGAGGTGGGGAACACTGCACTGCACTATCTCATTCACAATGAATCATATCATTATCGAATGAATGAATGTTTAGACCATGAAACATATCAGCTCTTTCTTGACAGTGGGGCAGATGTGCAGATAAAGAACAATGAAGGAAAGACAGCTCTGCACTTGGCAGCAAAGGCAAATTGTGAAAGATGTGCGAAATATTTGCTCCCAATATCTGATATAAATGATCAGGATGAGTTGGGGAACACTGCACTGCACTATCTCATTCACAATGAATCATATCATTATGGAATGAATGAATGTTTAGCCCATGAAACATATCAGCTCTTTCTTGACAGTGGGGCAGATGTGCACATAAAGAACAAGGAAGGAAAGACAGCTCTGCACTTGGCAGCAAAGGCACATTGTAAAAACTGTGTGGAAATGTTGCTCCCAATATCTGATATAAATGATCAGGATGAGGTGGGGAACAATGCACTGCACTATCTCATTCACAATGAATCATATCATTATGGAAGGAATGAATGTTTAGCCCATGAAACATATCAGCTCTTTCTTGATAATGGGGCAGATGTGCACATAAAGAACAAGGAAGGAAAGACAGCTCTGCACTTGGCAGCAAAGGCAAATTGTAAAAACTGTGTGGAAATGTTGCTCCCAATGTCTCATATAAATGATCAGGATGAGGTGGGGGACACTGTACTGCACTATCTGCATCATTATCAAAGCTATTATCCGACCAAAGTTAAACGTTTTTGCCATGAAACATATCAGCTCTTTCTTGACAACGGGGCAGATGTGACCATCAAGGACAAGAAAGGACAGACAGCTCTGCACTTGGCAGCAAAGGCAAATTGTAAAAACTGTGTGGAAATGTTGCTCCCAATGTCTGATATAAATGATCAGGATGAGTTGGGGAACACTGCACTGCACTCTCTGCATCATTATCAAATTGATGAACTGATCATAGTTGAACGTGTTTGCCAAGAAACGTGTCAGATCTTTCTTGATAATGGGGCAGATGTGCACATAAAGAACAAGGAAGGAAAGACAGCTCTGCACTTGGCAGCAAAGGCAAATTGTAAAAACTGTGTGGAAATGTTGTTACCAATGTTTGATATAAATGATCAAGATGAGGTGGGGAACACTGCACTGCACTATCTCATTCACAATGTATCATATTTTGATGGAAGTAATGAATGTTTAGACCATGAAACATATCAGCTCTTTCTTGACAATGGGGCAGATGTGCACATAAAGAACAAGGAAGGAAAGACAGCTCTGCACTCGGCAGCAAAGGCAAATTGTAAAAAGTGTGTGGAAATGTTGCTCCCAATGTCTGATATAAATGATCAGGATGAGTTGGGGAACACTGCACTGCACTATCTGAATCATTATCAAAGTTATGGTCTGACCAAAGTTGATCGTGTTTGCCAAGAAACGTGTCAGATCTTTCTTGATAATGGGGCAGATGTGCACATAAAGAACAAGGACGGAAAGACAGCTCTGCACTTGGCAGCAAAGGCAAATTGTAAAATCTGTGTGGAAATGTTGTTACCAATGTCTCATATAAATGATCAGGATGAGGTGGGGAACACTGCACTGTACTATCTGAATCATTATCGAAGTTATTATCTGACCAAAATTGAACGTGTTTGCCAAGAAATGTGTCAGATCTTTCTTGATAATGGGGCAGATGTGCATATAAAGAACAAGGAAGGAAAGACATCTCTGCACTTTGCAGCAAAGGCAAATTGTACAAAGTGTGTGGAAATGTTGTTACCAATGTTAGATATAAATGAACAGGATTGGGCGGGGGACACTGAACTGCACTATCTCATGCACAATGAATCATATTTTGATGGAAGGAATGAATGTTTAGACCATGAAACATATCAGCTCTTTCTTGATAATGGGGCAGATGTGCACATAAAGAACAAGAAAGTAAAGACAGCTCTGCACTTGGCAGCAAAGGCAAGTTGTAAAAACTGTGTGGAAATGTTGCTGCCAATGTCTGATTTAAATGAACAGGATTGGGCGGGGAACACTGCACTGCACTATCTCATTCACAAAGTATCATATTTTGATGAAAGGAAGGAATGTTTAGACCATGAAACGTATCAGCTCTTTCTTGATAATGGGGCAGATGTGCACAAAAAGAACAAGGAAGGAAAGACAGCTCTGCACTTTGCAGCAAAGGCAAATTGTGAAAGATGTGTGAAAATGTTGCTGCCAATGTCTGATGTAAATGATAAGGATGAGGCGGGGAACACTGCACTGCACTATCTCATTCACAAAGTATCATATTTTTATGAATTATATCATTATGGAAAGGAGGAATGTTTAGGCCATGAAACATATCAGCTCTTTCTTGACATCGGGGCAGATGTGACCATGACGGACAGCGAAGGAAAGACAGCTCTGCACTTGGCAGCAAAGGCAAATTGTAAAAGATGTGTGAAAATGTTGCTGCCAATGTCTGATATAAATGATAAGGATGAGGCGGGGAACACTGCACTGCACTATCTCATTTACAATGAATCATATTATAAGGGAATGAATGAATGTTTAGCCCATGAAACATATCAGCTCTTTCTTGACAACGGGGCAGATGTGACCATCAAGGACAAGAAAGGACAGACAGGTCTGCTCCTGGCGGCTATGGCAAATTGTGAAAGATGTGTGAAAATATTGCTCCCAATATCTGATATAAATGATCAGGATGAGTTGGGGAACACTGCACTGCACTATCTCATTCACAATGTATCATATCGTTGTGGAAGGAAGGACTGTTTAGACCATGACACATATCAGCTCTTTCTTGACAATGGGGCAGATGTCAACATAAAGAACAAGGAAGGAAAGACAGCTCTGCACTTGGCAGCAAAGGCAAATTGTGAAAGATGTGTGAAAATATTGCTCCCAATATCTGATATAAATGATCAGGATGAGGTGGGGAACACTGCACTGCACTATCTCATTCACAAAGAATCATATCAATATGTATGGAATACATGTTTAGCCCATGAAACATATCAGCTCTTTCTTGATAATGGGGCAGATGTACACATACAGAACAAGGAAGGACAGACAGTTCTGTCTACAGCAACTTGGGCACATTGTAAAAACTGTGTGGAAATGTTGCTGCCAGTGTTAGATATAAATGATCAGGATAAGGTTGGGGACACTGCACTGCACTTTCTGCATCATTATCAAAGTTATCATCTGACCAAAGTTGAACGTGTTTGCCAAGAAATGTGTCAGCTCTTTCTTGCCAATAGGGCAGATGTGCACGTAAAAAACAAGGAAGGAAAGACATATCTGCACTTGGCAGCAAAGGCAAATTGTAAAAAGTGTGTGGAAATGTTGTTACCAATGTTTGATATAAATGATCAAGATCAGGCGGGGAACACTGCACTGCACTATCTCATTCACAATGTATCATATTTTGATGGAAGTAATGAATGTTTAGACCATGAAACATATCAGCTCTTTCTTGACAACGGCGCAGATGTGCACATAAAGAACAATGAAGGAAAGACAGCTCTGCACTTGGCAGTAAAGGCAAATTGTGAAAGATGTGTGAAAATATTGCTCCCAATATCTGATATAAATGATCAGGATGAGTTGGGGAACACTGCACTGCACTATCTCATTCACAATGTATCATATCGTTGTGGAAGGAAGGACTGTTTAGACCATACCACATATCAGCTCTTTCTTGACAATGGGGCAGATGTCAACATAAAGAACAAGGAAGGAAAGACAGCTCTGCACTTGGCAGCAAAGGCAAATTGTGAAAGATGTGTGAAAATATTGCTCCCAATATCTGATATAAATGATCAGGATGAGGTGGGGAACACTGCACTGCACTATCTCATTCACAATGAATCATATCAATATGTATGGAATACATGTTTAGTCCATGAAACATATCAGCTCTTTCTTGACAGTGGGTTGGATGTGCACATAAAGAACAATGAAGGAAAGACAGCTCTGCACGTGGCAGCAAAGGCAAAATGTGAAAGATGTGTGAAAATGTTGCTCCCAAAATCTGATATAAATTATCAGGATGAGTTGGGGAACACTGCACTGCACTATCTCATTCACTATGAATCATATGATTATGGAAGGAATGAATGTTTAGCCCATGAAACATATAAGCTCTTTCTTGACAGTGGGGCAGATGTGCACATGAAGAATAAGGAAGGAGAGACAGCTCTGCACTTGGCAGCTCTGGCTAATTGTAAAAACTGTGTGGAAAAGTTGCTCACAATATCTGATATAAATGATCAGGATGAGGTGGGGAACACTGCACTGCACTATGTCATTCACAATGAATCACATCATTATGGAAGGAATGAATGTTTAGACCATGACACATATCAGCTCTTTCTTGACAGTGGGGCAGATGTGCACATAAAGAACAAGGAAGGAACGACAGCTCTGCACTTGGCAGCAAAGGCAAATTGTGAAAGATGTGTGAAAATATTTCTCCCAATGTCTGATGTAAATGATCAGGATGAGTTGGGGAACACTGCACTGCACTATCTCATTCACAATGAAACCTATTATTATGTATGGAATAAATGTTTAGCCCATGAAATATATCAGCTCTTTCTTGACAGTGGGTTAGATGTGCACATAAAGAACAAGGAAGGAAAGACAGCTCTGCACTTGGCAGCAAAGGGAAATTGTGAAACATGTTTTGCTACCATTGTCTGATAAATGATCAGGATGGGGAACACTACACTATCTAAGTTGCAGTGCATCATTGTTTGTGGAAGGCTTAAACATTCAGACCATGAAACATGTCATCTCTTTCTTGACAAGGGGCAGATGTACACACCAGGTCAAGAAAAAACCCAGACAATTCATGTGGCAGCAGAGGCAATAATTATTTGGCATTTCCTGCTGTTCATATCACAGAAGCAAGACAAGCGGGTGAAATTTGTTTGACGGGAAAGTAAACAAAATTTCTCTAGACAGTCGTATATATATATATATATATATATATATATATATATATATATATATATATATATATATATATATATATATTCTATCTTTATGAAATGAAACTGTCATCACTGGTGCAGAGGGGGTTTGGAGAAAAACCACAGCTCATAATTGTGTATAAATAAGAAACTCAGCCTCCATCTGCTTGAAAAAATATAACTCAGCCTCAATAAAATAGTCCTGACCGCAATATGGCTGTGCTAATCAATACAGAGTATATCGTGAGCAAAGCCATAATCTTTGACAGTGAGAAATGACCATGAGAAACAGTATGCCTGTAACTGCATTTATTAATAATCATTTCAAATCTTTCATTTCAAAAGGCCATAAACAATTGTTGACTACGAGTGAAATGACCAAAACAGCATCATTTACCCTAACTTGGAAAACAATACAATATAAACATATGTATAAAGATAAATAGTTTATTGCAATAACCTAAATTGGCGAGCAAAAGAAACGTTACCAACCAACATTGTTTGTTCCTAAAAACAGAACACGACCCATGTCAAGGAAGATGTGTTCACTGTCAAAAGATATGAACTGTTAACATCATTATGTACATCAAACAAGTTCTGTCATGAAAATCATGTTGTCCTAAAATGTACCCCATTTGAGATGCATCAGTTGTGAGGATGAAGGGTTTGTTTTGGATTGACAGGAGTACAGTTGACACTTTGTACATGGATGTATTGTGACTGTATTGACAGGAGTAAATTTGACACTTTGTACATAGATGTATTGTAACTGTATTCAGAGGAGCAAAGTTGACACTTTGTACATAGATTCGTTATGACTGTATTGACAGGAGTAAAGTTGACACTTTGTACATAGATGTATTGTAACTGTATTGACAGTAGTGAAGATGACACTTTGATCATAGATGTATTGTAACTGTATTGACAGGAGTGAAGATGACACTTTGAACATAGATGTATTGTAACTGTATTGACTGAAGTAAAGATGACACTTTGTACGTAGAGGTTGTGTAACTGTATTGACTGGAGTAAAGGTGACACTTTGTACATAGATGTATTGTAACTGTTTTGACAGGAGTAAAGGTTATACTTTACACATAGATGCATTGTAACTGTATTGACAGGAGTAAAGATGACACTTTGTACATAGATGTATTGTGACTGTATTGACAGGAGTAAAGTTGATACTTTGTACATAAATGTATTGTAAGTGTATTGACTGCAGTAAAGTTGACACTTCGTACATAGATGCATTGAAACTGTATTGAGAGGAGTAAAGGTAACACTTTGCAAATATATATATTGTACGTAACTGTATTGACTGGAGTAATGTTGACACTTTGTACATAGATGTGTTGTAACTGTATTGAGAGGAGCAAAGTTGACACTTTGTACATAGATTCGTTATGACTGTATTGAGAGGAGTAAAGTTGACACTTTGTACATAGATGTATTGTAACTGTATTGACTGAAGTAAAGTTGACACTTTATACATAGATGTATTGTAACTGTATTGAGGGGAGCAAAGTTGACACTTTCTACATAGATTCGTTATGACTGTATTGAGAGGAGTAAAGTTGACACTTTGCACATAGATGTATTGTAACTGTATTGACTGAAGTAAAGTTGAAACTTTATACATAGATGTATTGTAACTGTATTGACAGGAGTGAAGATGACACTTTGAACATAGATGTATTGTAACTGTATTGACTGAAGTAAAGTTGACACTTTATACATATATGTATTGTAACTGTATTGAGAGGAGAAAAGTTGACACTTTATACATAGATGTTGTAACTGTATTGAGAGGAGAAAAGTTGACACTTTGTACATAGATTCGTTATGACTGTATTGAGAGGAGTGAAGTTGACACTTTGTACAAAGATGTATTGTAACTGTATTGACAGGAGTGAAGATGACACTTTGATCATAGATGTATTGTAACTGTATTGACAGGAGTGAAGATGACACTTTGAACATAGCTGTATTGTAACTGTATTGAGAGAAGCAAAGTGGTCACTTTGTACATAGATTCGTTATGACTGTATTGACAGGAGTGAAGATGACACTTTGTACATAGATGTATTGTAACTGTATTGAGAGGAGTAAAGTTGACACTTTGTACATAGGTGTATTGTAGCTGTATTGACAGGAGTAAAGATGATATTTTGTACATAGACGTATTGTAACTGTATTGACAGGAGTAAAGGTTATACTTTACACATAGATGCATTGTAACTGTATTGACTGCAGTAAAGTTGACACGTTGTACATAGATGTATTGTAACTGTGTTGAGAGGAGCAAAGTTGACACTTTGTACATAGATGTATTGTAACTGTATTGACAGGAGTGAACATGAATATAGATGTATTGTAACTGTATTGACAGGAGTGGAGATGACACTTTGAACATAGTTGTATTGTAACTGTATTGAGAGGAGCAAAGTTGACACTTTGTACATAGATTAGTTATGACTGTATTAAGAGGAGTAAAGTTGACACTTTGTACATACATTAGTTATGACTGTATTCACAAGAGTAAAGATGACACTTTGTACATAGATGTATTGTAACTGTATTGAGAGGAGTAAAGTTGACACTTTGTACATAGATGTATTGTAACTGTATTGACAGGAGTGAAGATGAAATTTGAACATAGATGTATTGTAACTGTATTGAGAGAAGCAAAGTTGACACTTTGTACATAGATTCGTTATGACTGTATTGACAGGAGTGAAGATGACACTTTGTACATAGATGTATTGTAACTGTATTGAGAGGAGTAAAGTTGACACTTTGTACATAGGTGTATTGTAGTTGTATTGACAGGAGTAAGGATGATACTTTGTACATAGACGTATTGTAACTGTATTGACAGGAGTAAAGGTTATACTTTACACATAGATGCATTGTAACTGTATTGACTGCAGTAAAGTTGACACGTTGTACATAGATGTATTGTAACTGTGTTGAGAGGAGCAAAGTTGACACTTTGTACATACATTAGTTATGACTGTATTGAGAGGAGTAAAGTTGACACTTTGTACATAGATGTATTGTAACTGTATTGACAGGAGTGAAGATTAACATAGTTGTATTGTAACTGTATTGACAGGAGTGGAGATGACACTTTGAACATAGTTGTATTGTAACTGTATTGAGAGGAGCAAAGTTGACACTTTGTACATAGATTCGTTATGACTGTATTGACAGGAGTGAAGATGACACTTTGTACATAGATGTATTGTAACTGTATTGAGAGGAGTAAAGTTGACACTTTGTACATAGGTGTATTGTAGCTGTATTGACAGGAGTAAAGATGATATTTTGTACATAGACGTATTGTAACTGTATTGACAGGAGTAAAGGTTATACTTTACACATAGATGCATTGTAACTGTATTGACTGCAGTAAAGTTGACACTTTGTACATAGATGTATTGTAACTGTGTTGAGAGGGGCAAAGTTGACACTTTGTACATAGATGTATTGTAACTGTATTGACAGGAGTGAAGATGAACATAGATGTATTGTAACTGTATTGACAGGAGTGGAGATGACACTTTGAACATAGTTGTATTGTAACTGTATTGAGAGGAGCAAAGTTGACACTTTGTACATAGATGTATTGTTACTGTATTGAGAGGAGTAAAGTTGACACTTTGTACATACATTAGTTATGACTGTATTCACAAGAGTAAAGATGACACTTTGTACATAGATGTATTGTAACTGTATTGAGAGGAGTAAAGTTGACACTTTGTACATAGATGTATTGTAACTGTATTGACAGGAGTAAAGATGACACTTTGAACATAGATGTATTGTAACTGTATTGAGAGAAGCAAAGTTGACACTTTGTACATAGATTCGTTATGACTGTATTGACAGGAGTGAAGATGACACTTTGTACATAGATGTATTGTAACTGTATTGACAGGAGTGAAGATGAACATAGATGTATTGTAACTGTATTGACAGGAGTGGAGATGACACTTTGAACATAGTTGTATTGTAACTGTATTGAGAGGAGCAAAGTTGACACTTTGTACATAGATTCGTTATGACTGTATTGAGAGGAGTGAAGATGACACTTTGTACATATATGTATTGTAACTGTATTGAGAGGAGTAAAGTTGACACTTTGTACATAGGTGTATTGTAGCTGTATTGACAGGAGTAAAGATGATATTTTGTACATAGACGTATTGTAACTGTATTGACAGGAGTAAAGGTTATACTTTACACATAGATGCATTGTAACTGTATTGACTGCAGTAAAGTTGACACGTTGTACATAGATGTATTGTAACTGTGTTGAGAGGAGCAAAGTTGACACTTTGTACATAGATGTATTGTAACTGTATTGACAGGAGTGAAGATGAACATAGATGTATTGTAACTGTATTGACAGGAGTGGAGATGACACTTTGAACATAGTTGTATTGTAACTGTATTGACAGGAGCAAAGTTGACACTTTGTACATAGATGTATTGTAACTGTATTGAGAGGAGTAAAGTTGACACTTTGTACATACATTAGTTATGACTGTATTCACAAGAGTAAAGATGACACTTTGTACATAGATGTATTGTAACTGTATTGAGAGGAGTAAAGTTGACACTTTGTACATAGATGTATTGTAACTGTATTGACAGGAGTAAAGATGACACTTTGAACATAGATGTATTGTAACTGTATTGAGAGAAGCAAAGTTGACACTTTGTACATAGATTCGTTATGACTGTATTGACAGGAGTGAAGATGACACTTTGTACATAGATGTATTGTAACTGTATTGAGAGGTGTAAAGTTGACACTTTGTACATAGGTGTATTGTAGCTGTATTGACAGGAGTAAAGATGATACTTTGTACATAGACGTATTGTAACTGTATTGACAGGAGTAAAGGTTATACTTTGTACATAGATGTATTGTAACTGTATTGAGAGGAGTAAAGTTGACACTTTGTACATAGATGTATTGTAACTGTGTTGAGAGGA